TGCCACCTTCTTTTTATTAGTCAAATGGGAGCCACCGAAAGAACACAACTCGTTATATTGTTCTATTGGTAATGATATAGTCTAAGAGATTACCGTTACATAGAATTTCATGTTGCCTTTCATAGTAACCATGATTTGCAGCAAAAACTTCATCACCACCAAATAAAGAACCAAGTGATGGTAGTCTAGTGGTGATCTCTTGGGGTTTGGTGTGTATCCACATCAGTCTTGGGTTTGATTCCCATTGCAAAACTAAGTTATTATTACTTGGCCAGACTGGGCTAGGGCTTCAGCCCATGTGGTTTATATGGTGGATGGTAATAGATGATCGGTTCACTTTCTGAGATTAGTCGGAATGGTATTCCAAACTTGGGTCAGACAATGTGGTAGTCAGTTACTTTGTACCACTAAATGCATTCCTCCCGGAACCAACCATATCAGCCGATAGAGTTTATAAAAAAAAAGGAACCATAATGATTGAAGCTGGTAAGACCTGTCGACACCATTCTCAATAGATATGTTAATTATCTTTTTAGGTGGTTCAATTGAACCAAAATTTTGTGTTTCCAAATCCATTAGAAAAAAACTTGTTGTGGCTGAGTTGGTTGTATTATGACTGAGTTATACTATGGTGTGGCTGAGTTTTGTTTCTATTACGGCTGAGTTATTTATTATGTTATGGATGAGTTTGTTGTATTATGGATGAGTTATACTATGTTGTGGCTGAGTTTTCTTTCTATTACGGCTGAGTTATGTATTATGTTGTGACTGAGTTAATTTTCTTTTGCGGCTGATTTATGTATTATGTTGTGACTGAGTTAATTTTCTTTTGCGACTGATTTATATATATGCGTTTTAGAATCAGATAGATGTTTCCGAAGATCAAACACGGGATTATCCTCCAAGACTTTACGCTGAAGGGGCTTCTAATCTAAAAAATAAAGAGATTATTCACAATTTGCATATGAGAGAATTCCATCACGTCAGAGAAGCAATAGGATATGATGTGTGGGATCACCTGAAGCAGAGTCCTCTTGGAATAATTATTAAGATAGCTGAACACAAAAGCGTGTGGTCTGGTAGGACTGTACACTATCCACTATGTAGACAGCTTCGAGTATATAAGAAGGAGATTTGGAGTCTAGTTGGTGATGAACCTATGAGGTTTAGCTTACACAAATTTGATGAGATCACTGGGTTAAACACAGATCCAGTGCCAACAGAAAATTTTGAAGGTGACCAATACAAAGAATTTTGGGAGGAGATGAATATGCCGCATGGGGTGGGACCCAAGTTAGATGAACTGAGGAAAGTATTAGAGGTATCTCCGGCCTGGAGTTTTGAAAAGCGTAAATGGTTAGGGCTGTTACTTCTTCAAGCCATGGGATTTTATACTTTGCATCATAATAATATGTTTTATATAACCCAGCCGCATCGTATATAATCCAGCCGTATCGTTTCTATAAGCCAGCCGTATCTCTTTATATAACTCAGCCATACCACAGACATACCCTAAAATCAAAAAAAGCTTAATATAACCCAGCCGTATCATTTCTATAAGCCAACCGTAACACTTTATATACAACCATACCACAAACAGACCCTAAAATCAAAATAAAGTTTAATAAAACCCAGCCGTATTGTTTTATTAAGCCAGCCGTAACGCTTCATATAACTCAGCCAAACCACAAACATACTCTAATATTGGAAAATGTACTTTAAAATGTTATTAAAAATTATTATTATCAATTTTAGATGAATATATAATCAATTGTGTGTGTCAATTGTGTGTGTATACTTCATTAAATTTACAAGTTTCGAACTGATCATGATCGTGAGATATATGTTGTCTTACAAATAATTAAAACCTTATGTGTCAATATAGGTGTTGAACAAACAAAATACAAAGTATACCATATAATTTGTTTTTCAACTGAATTTGTGTAATTTCTTATATTTTACTGTGGTACCTAAACCATAAAACCTAAATCCTAAACACTAAACACAAAATAATTAACCCTAAACCCTAAAACATAAACTTATCCTAAACATAACTCAGCTGTAACATGTCTATAACTCAGCCGCAAAGTGTAACTTAATCGCGACGTTTCGTATTTTTAGGCGGGAACTAAATACATGTGAATCACTGGGGTGGGCGGGAACCAGTGTTTTTTACCATGACCATTGATTGATTTTAATTTAAGGGTTCCAAATTATCATTTTCTCTATCCTCACCCTTCTTTATCATTGGTTAATCTTTCTTTTTCAAGGATCTCAATTTATGGCCATTGATTAAATGAAATCTAAAGGTCAAAAATCATTCTCTCATTTTCTTTATAGTTGACCGGACTTAACCGTTTCATCACTCTCTTTGACTATATTTTCTTCTGCAAGACGACGAATCCGATGAGAGAGGGAACATCCGGATGTCCGATCACCATACAAGAGAGAACTGCTGGATGTCAGATCACCATACAGATACTGGAGAAAAGAAAGCTTCTTCTCTAACCAACCACCATCGAAGACGGCGACAACTACAGTAGATCTGTCTCCAATTTTTTTTCTAGATCTATATTGTTTATGCGTCTGATATGCCTCTTGATTCCTAATATATAGACTCATATTTTAGTGTTTCTTTTGGTTTCTAACTTCAATTTAAGTTTGGATGATGAATCTTGAACCTGTCAGAAGCTTTTTTGGTCGACTTGGTTATAACAAAGTCGTATTGTAACCATAACTCACCTTTGATTATAACAAAACCATATTGTAACCATAACTCAGCCATAACGTATACAAAAATCAGACATAATTTGATTATAACTCAGCTGTAACGTAGGCATAAGTCAGCCGTAAAGTATGCATAACTCAGCCCTAATGTATGCATAACTTAGCTCTAATTTGATGAGTTATAACTCAGCCATAACATATGCATAACTCAGCCGTAAACTATGCATAACTCAGGCATAATATATGTATAACTCAGCCGTGACGTTCTTATATGTCAGCCGTTAAGTGTAATTTGTTTCGCTACATTTTGAATTTTGTGGGGGAATATTAAAACTTTAAACTCTTCTTAAATTTGAACCTCAAATCCTAAACTATAAAGCTATAAAATTATAAATTTATATTTTGAACATTAAATCTGATAAGTTTTATTATTTTAAATTTAAAGTTTAATTAGAGATTAGGTTTATAGTTAAGAGTGAAACTCAGCCGTAAAATATGCATAAGTCAGTAATAACATATGCATAACTCAGCTGCAATTTGCTGAGTTATAACTCAGCCGTAATGTATGCATAACCCAGCCGTAAAGTATGCATAACTCAGCCGTAACGTATGTATAACTCAGCCGTAAAGTATGCATAACTCAGTCGTACCGTAGGTATAACTCAACCGTAACGTATGAATAACTCAGCCGTAACGTATGTGTTGGAGACTCACTGTATGAACTAAAGTTATCATATTCAGATGATGCAAAATCTGAGTCATTAAACATATAAATCAGCTTTCAAATTCATCATCTTCTTCGTATTCTCTTTTTTCTTTTTTTCTTTTTTTCTTTTTTTCTTACAATTTATGGAACTTAGCTTTTTTATTTTTCTCTTTGACTATTTATTCTTCTGCAAGACGGCGAATTCGATGGGAGAGGGAGCAGCAAGATGTCAGACCACTATACATGACACTAGAGGAGAGGAAGCTTCTTCTCAACCGACCATCATCGAAGACGACGACTGCAGTAGATCTGTCTCAGATTTAAATTTTTAAATCTGTTTTTTAGATCCAGTTTCCAAAAAAAATAATTACCAGATCCATAAGATCTCAGAGAAAAATGAAGAATAAGATGAAGAAGATAGATAAATAAGATGAATAATGAAGAATAAGACTCTGTGTCTGTAACATAAACCCTTATTTTATATTTTCAGCGTTAGTAATGACATGGCAAGTAAGTATTGATGATATGGATGATGACATGGAAAATCGGTAAGTCAGCCACCAAACGAGCACATAACTCAGCCTAAATAAACCAGTCATCAAGTACAATGTAAGCTAGCTGAATCATGAATACTATTTTAGTAATTAATTTTTTGCTAATAAATCAGCCATAATTAGGATGGAAAATTATAAGTCAGCCGTATCGTCAAATAAATCAGCCGTCAAACGATGATATTCTAGTAATTAATCATTCGCTAATAAGTCAGCCATAATTATGCTGAGTTTATTGTTAATCCAGCCAGTTACAGCTGATTAAATATAACTCAGCCGTAACAACCTCTCATAAGTCAGCCGTAAATTTAATAACTCAGCCAGGCGACGTTCATTAACCCAGCCGGCGAAACATAACTCAGCCATGTCTTAACTACAACTCAGCCAAATTTTCCAGAAATCACACCGCCGCTATATAAGTCAGCCGTAACTTGTGTACGTAGATCAGCCGTTATCCCATAAATCATCCATATTTCTGTAAGTCAGCCATCACTAACGGCTGACTTATATTCTTAAGTCAGCCAATTTCTCTTAAGTCAGCCGCGTTGTTTAACTCAGCCACAATGTAACAATAACCCAGCCGTAACGACATATGTAGTGCTTTACGGCCGACTTAATGAAAACACGGCAGTAATTTCCTACGTTGCGCTGGATTTTTGCTTACGTTGCATTAAAAAATAATAGCATTTTTGTAAATACGTTTTTTCTCATAACATAATAGAAATGCACGCTTGGTAATTAAAAAAATAACAGTAATAAAAAAGATTTGTATGGTTCCAGTTGATTGTTTTAAAATATGTACTATTTGAATAAACTTTCTTAAATAATATTGTCATCTAATTATGTGTTTGCGTTGGATCACTGTTCGACTAGTAAATTGTTATTACTTTATTTCGGAGACATTGTACTCTTTTTGTGTGTGACATCGTTGTACTGTTCTTTAAAAAGGCCATTCTGCTATTTAATAGTACAAACTTGCTAAAACATTAAGCAGACCCGATTAGTAACTTTCAAATTTACCGAGCGTCAATAACCGAGCGAGTGATTTGGTTCACTGTCCACTCATCATCACCCTGTTTACTTAATTCAGGCTCAAGAGTACCTCTGCCAACGCAAAACTCTGGCTGTTTAGGCTCAGGAAGAGTCGTAGTTTCGCTTCCAAGCATCACCATTACAGATGACATCTCTGGTCTGTCTTCAGCACGGTCTTGAACACATAAGAGACCAATATGTATACATCTTAAGGTTTCATGTGTCTTGAACGATGATGATGATGACTTAGAGGCTATTATGATTGGATCTATAATGTCTAGCCTTTTTCCTTCCTTCCAGTTCCTCCACACCTGTCCATCATTATGATGGAATCTTTTATTTTCTTATATATATAATAATCGTGCAGAAAAAAATCAAATTTAAAAGGTTTTTGTTGACATTGTGAGAGTTTATGTCCAACTCTCTATTATCCGATTAGTATGATATAGTCCACTTTCCACCTAATATGCAAGCATGTATGGATTTATTTTTGGTTTTCTTTCCAAAAGGCTATGTACCAGTGTTCGAAAATACGCCCAACGCGGCCGTTTATACGGTCACGAAACGCTATGCGGCAATCTAACGTAGTGCATTCATCATATACGGCTTTATATGCGGTTCGTTAAAAAACGGACGAATATACAGCGTATAGTCCGCATATTCGGTATTGTCTAGGCGTTTGTATTTTTTCTTGCGTCAAAAATGTCAACATTACGTCGTTACCTAATTAAATGAAGTTGAGTCAAAACTGAAAACACACAAAATTACGTCCTTTAACTAAAATCTTACCTAGCTGCCAATTAACAAGTCCAAAGTCTATGCTATACAGAGCTTTGTCATATTCACTTTAGCTTTTTCTATCCCTACCAAAGGTTATTGTCTTACGTTTTCTTTATGATCTCTTTGGTTTCTCTGCACATGTTGTTTTGTTTTAAATATTCTAATATTATAAGTTTATTTGTTGGTATTAGTGTAGAAGAAAATGATAACTAGACTTTTAGTTTGGTTTATTTTTGTTTACATTTTAGTCTTATTCTTATTTTTATTTGAATACTGTTTTTCTTCTTTATTTAAATTTAGAATTATTGAACTATTATTTTTTTAGACTTTAGTAATTTTTTTGATAATTTAGTATTAAAAACCTTATATTATTTTAGTATTATTATTATTTTATTTTCATATTAGTCATCAGTAGAATTTGTTTAAATATATATATATATATATCCGCTTAAGCCCCGTTTAGACGTCCGCGTATACAGCTATACGCTAGGCGCTGGATCGCCGCACAGAGAGCGCATAGCGCATTTTAGAACATTGCTATGTACTAATTAGAGTTGCAGATCTCTTTATATATTAGACATTCTTTGTCTAATTCTCCAACGTGGGACTTAGTTTGATATCTCACATTCTCCCCCTCAAGCTAAGGACCACATTCATCTCGTGTCCCACAACTAACTTCCAGAATCTTTCTGACTTAATCTCTGCCACATATACCTCCCATTCATAACTCGAAGAGTCCCCATTCATCTCTCGAACATGTATTTTGGTCTTCTTACGGATTTCTTATCAACTTCAGTCTAAAAATGGAGAATCAAGTACAAAGAGATGAAGGATCTTATAAGAGTACAAGATTTATATGGAGTTCAAGCTTAAGGGGGAGATTGTTAGTTTAAGCTTGAAGAATAAAGAAGCTTGAGAAGCAAGTTAAAGTCCTAATCCTACTGAGATATGGAAATAGGAAACATAATACGTTTAGGAGTTATCTAGTTATGTTACCTAATAAGATTAGGAGACTAAATTCTATATAAGGAGATGTCAAGTTGTGATATAACTTACAAGAGTTTAGAGATTGAAAATTTAAGTTTTGAGTTATTTTCTTAAGTTAATAATAAGAGAGCAATTCTAATTCATCTTTGAGTTCTAGGTTTGGTATCAGAGCTATCAACAATCATTGGAGATCTTTCGCTTCTAAAAAAAATCAAAGGAAGGAGAGCCATCATCAATCAAATGTCCAATGTTAACAACAATAAACTACACCGTATGGGCTACTCGGATGAGAAATCTGCTGATGGTTCATAAGGTTTGGAGTCTTGTTGAGACAGAAACACAAGACGACGAGAAGAACAAGATAACAATTGGTTTGTTGTTTGCAGATATACCAAAAAATCTGGTATAACAGGTTGGAGAGATGGATACAGCAAAGAAAATATGGGACACCATCAAAACAAGATACATTGGAGCAGAGAGAGAAAAGGAGGCAAGATTGGAGACATTAATGTCTGAATTTGATAGGTTAAAGATGAAAAGAAACTAACAAGATCGATGATTTTGTTGGAAACTTATCTGAAATCTCTTCAAAAAGGGCTGCCCTAAGAAAGAAAATAGAAGAATCAAAGCTAGTTAAGAAATTATTAATGAAAGTGTATTCCAATGGAGAATACATACATATCAGGGCTTCGCTTGAGCAGGTGTTGGACCTAAACAACACAAGTTTTGAAGACATGGAAGGGAGGTTAAAGCATATGAGGATCGTGTTGCTGAAGAAGAAGAAACTCAAGAAGATCAAAGAAAACTGATGTATCTTAACTAAGATTCTCAGTCCAACCGAGATTACAACGGTGGATATAGAGGAAACAAAGGATGAGGTGGTCGGAACTATGGAAGAGGAAGAGGTCATGGACGATGAATTGGTACCAGAGATGCGTCCAAGATAATTTGTTTTTGTTGTGACAAATTAGGTCACTTCGCATCCTCTTGTCCAGACCGAATACTCAAGTTACAAGAACCTCAAGAGTGTGAGGTCGATGACACAACAGGTGCAGATGAGCTAATGATGCACGAGAGATTATATTTAAATAAAGAAAAGGTTATACCAAGTAAGTATGAAGTAAAAACTGCAGAGGGAACATCTAGTATCTCGACATCGGAGCTATCAACCACATGAATAGGTGACCGCCATTACTTCTCAAAGATCAATGAATCAATAACAAGGAAAGTTAGATTCGGGGATGACTCTCGTATAGACATTAAGGGAAAAGGATCTATTGATTTTATAGATCGAAACGAATAGTCTAGAACGATGTGTGACGTTTACTATATTCTTGACTTGAGGAGCCACATTATCAGCCTTGAACAAGCTACTGAAGCTAGTTGTGATATAAGACTAATGGGAGAATGCTTGACCATTCATGATCGAGAGGGAAGCTTTTATTCAAAGCGATAAGATCAAATAATACGTTACAAAATGCAGATGGAGATCAAATAAAACGTATGTATACTCTCACAGCTGACAGAGTCAAGCAGTTGGCATTCACGGTTGGGACATGTAAACTACGAGACAATATGCTCAATGGCATATAGAGAGTTAGCTATTGGGATTCCACAACTTATCTTTGAGAAGAAGATATGCGGTTCTTGCCTACTTGGAAAGTAAGTCAGACAAATGTTTCCTCAAGCTACCACCTACCGAGCCAATACGATACTGGAGTTGATTCACGAAGATCTATGCATTCCAATAACAACCAACACAGCGGCTGGAAATAGATACGTTTTTGTTCTCATAGACGACCATTCAAGATATATGTGGATCATCTTATTAACCGAGAAAGTCGGGGCACTAGAAAAGTTAGAGAATTTTGTTAGGCTAATAGAACAAGAATCAAAAGAGAAGATACAAACTGTAAGAACAGATAGGGGGAGATTTTGCATCACAAGACTTCAACGAGTTCTGTGAGCTTAAAGGAATCAAACGACACCTTATGGCTCCATATAGTCTGCAGCAAACGGAGTGGTAGAGAGACGCAAAAGAACACATATGTAGATGACTAGGAGTATCTTGAAACACATGCAATTGCCAAACTACATGTGGGGAGAGGCCGTTCGACACTCAACCTATCTTCTAAACAGCATTGCTACAAGATCTATAAAAGACAAGACCCCATATGAAGTCTATTGAGGCAAGAGGCAAAATGTTGATCCTTTATGAACATTTGGATGCATAGGCTATGTAAACACAGTGAAGCCACATCTAAAGAAGTTGGAGACAGGTAGTGTATGTTGGTTCCTCTTGGAACAGAGCCCGAGTCTAAGGCGTATCGCATGTATGAACCAAGAAATCAGAAGATAAAAATCAGTAGAGATGTCGTGTTCGATAGACAAAACGATGGAACTGTAATCAAAACAGCTCAGAACCAACAGGCCAGAAAATCTCGTCATTGACTTGGAGAATTTGGGAATCATGGTATTAAGCAAGAACCACAAGAGCCGTCAAATAACGAAAAAATTGAAGCGGTTACTAGTGAAGAAGAGGCAATACCAAATGATGTTGAAGAAGAAGTGGACGAAAACATCGATGATCTTGAACCTATCCTAAGAAGATCTCAGAGACTAAGCACATGACTTAAGTACTTAGATGATTACGTCATATTCGCAGAAGAAGAAGGAGAGTACATACTAATGTGTATGGATGATGAACCGAGAAGCTTTAATAAAGCTAAAGAATCTAGAGAATGGACGCAAGCTTGTGAAGCTGAGATGTTGTCAATCATCCAGAATGGAACCTGGACGCTTGTAGACCTTCCACCCGGATAAAAAGCTATTGGGCTGAAGTGGGTCTTCAAGTTAAAGAGAAATTCAGATGAAAGTATAAACAAACATAAAGTTTCCTTGGTGGCAAAGGGGTACGTGCAGAGATATGGTGTAGACTTTGAAGAAGTCGCACCAGTGGCCCGAATCAAGACAATCCGATTACTCATAAACCTTGCAGCTGCGAACGGATGGGAGATACATCATCTCGATGTTAAAACGGCCTTCTTACATGGTGATTTGAAAGAAGTGGTCTATGTCTCACAGCCAGAAGGTTTTGAAGAAGAAGGTTCCTTGAAAAAAGTTTGCAAGCTCAACAAAGCTTTATATGGTTTAAGACAAGCTCCTCGAGCATGGAATGATAAACTAAATTCCATACTCAAAGAACTACAGTTCATATGATGTTCAAAAGAACCTTCAGTATCCCAGAAGAAGATATAACGATTTTAATACTGATTACGGTTTATGTTGATGACTTGTTTGTCATGGGAACTAGTAATCAACTCATTTGCGAGTTTAAAAGAGAGATGGCAACAAAATTTGAGATGAGTGACTTGGGAAGACTGACCTACTATATAGGGATCAAGGTGACTCATCATACGGGTGGAATCATGTTGAATCAGAAGAGTTATGCAATGAGGATACTAGGCTGGTATGAAGAATTGTAATCCAACGCAGACACCTATGGAATCCGGACTTAAGCTTTCAAAAGCTAAGAATGAAAAGTCAATAGATGCAACAGCATATAGAAGGAATGTGGGATGTCTGTGTTATCTGCTCCTCACCTGACCAGACCTTGCCAATTGTGTTGGTGTGTTAAGTCGATACATGCAGGACCCTAAAGAATATCATGGTGCAGCAATGAAGCAGTGCTTAAGATATCTTCAAGGTACTGTTTTGTATGGCTTAGCATTTGAAAGGGCAACATCAATATCAGCAACTCATAGAACACAGTGATTCAAGTCATAACATTGATCCAGACGATGGAAGAAGCACAATGGGTCATGTGATCTCGGAGAGAGCCCAATCACGTGGTGTTCGTATAAGCAGGATACCGTGGCTCTGTCCTCATGTGAAGCAAAATTCATGGATGGTACGAAAGCCGCAAGACAGGCAATCTGGCTCCAATAGTTTCTTGGTGAGATCAATGGCTTAACGAGAGAGAAGGTCACAATCCGAATTGATAATCAGTCGGCTATTGCACTTACTAGAAACCCTGTCTTAGACGGTCGAAGTAAACATATACATACGAGATATCACATCATCAGAGAATGTGTTGAAGATGGTATGATCGAAGTTGAGCACATTCCCGGCGACCAGCAGAAAGCAGACTTTCTTACGAAAGCACTTGGGAGAATCAAGTTCAAAGAAGTGAGGAATCTTAGAAGAGTAAAAGATTTATCGAAAATGGAATTCAAGCTTAAGAGAGATATTGTTAGTTTAAGCTTGAAGAATAAAGAAGTTTGAGAAGCAAGTTAGAGTCCTAATCCTACCGAGATATGGAAATAGGAAACATAATGTGTTTAGGAGTTATCTAGTAATGTTACCTAATAGGATTAGGAGATTATAAACTCTATATAAGGAGATGTCAAGTTATGACATAACTTACAAGAGTTTACAGATTGAGAACTTAAGTTTTGAGTTATTTTCTTAAGTTAACAATATGAGAGAAATTCTTATTCATCTTTGAGTTCTAGAGTTCTCAAGCTTACCCAACCGTGGAGACTAAGGTCACCACATGAGTTGTGAAATCCTGTACTCCTCTTGCCACTTATAATCTCAAGAAGTAAGATCCCATAGCTGAAGACATCAGATTTCACCGAGAATATCCCATTTAGTGCATATTCTGGAGACATGTAGCCACTGCATAATGAAAGATAAAATTCATATATAAATGAGGTTATTTTTTAGTCTGGATTTAATTAGAAAAAAAAAATCATGATTTCTTACTAAGTTCCGACCACCTTCCGGGTTATAGCTTCTGTCTCATCCCGTCCAAAAATCCTAGCCATCCCAAAGTCGGAGATCTTTGGAATCATATTTTTATCAAGCAAGACATTACTTACTTTCAAATCTCTATGGATGATCCTAAACCGTGAATCCTGGTGAAGATATAACAGTCCTCTCGCAATACCATTCGCTATATCAAATCTCAGTGGCCAAGTTAATTTGGCGCGTCGGCTTTTGTCTACAAATTATTGGGACGTGTTAACTTATTCGTGAAGATATTGAATTTGTTAGAAAATAATATTTCAGTCACAAACCAAAGAGATGAGAATCAAGGCTTAGATTCTCCAGGTATTCATAGATTAGCATATTCTCCCCCTTATCCACGCAATAACCAAGAAGCCGGACAAGGTTGATATGCTGTAGCCTTGCTATTATTCCAACCTCATTCTCAAACTCATCTTTCCCTTGTAAAGATAGTTTTGATAGTCTCTTTACCGCAATTTCTTTCCCGCCAAGTAACCTTCCCTATTACCAGCAGACATTTCAGTATGCAATAATGAAAACCTTGTGCCGTGATAATTCTGAATAAATTTTGTGAATTACTTTTTACCTTGTAAACAATACCGAATCCACCTTTTCCAAGCTCGTTAGTGTTAGAAAAATTGTTTGTTGCGATGGCGATAGCTTCAAAATCCATCAGTGGAAGCTCTAGATCCTCTGTGTTTATATCTTCTAATGTGTGTCTCTTGCTTGATATTACCACCTCACTCATTATGGAAGCTTGGCTTGTTACTTGATCAATTGTTCCATTCAGACAAAAGAAAATCAAGACATCAGTATTAAAACTTTACAGATATAATAAATAAAGAAATGAAAGTTGGGAGACAATTGTTCCCTCATCTCCGCTGCGCCAACTCTCACAGTCCTTCCTCCGGTAGGCCTAACCATTCCCCTTTGGCCTTGGCTCTTGTGGAACTTATGGAAGGCGAGAAACAAATTATGCTTTGATAATAAAGCCTTTACTGCTATGGATATTATCACCAAGTCCATCTCTGACGCGCGAGAATGGCAGATGGCGCAAGCTCCCTCAACCGACTCGGTACAGTCAAGACACCCCTTCAATACGCCTACTCATAGACCACAGCCTCATGAGGTATCACCCGGTATCCTGATATGTAATGTTGATGGTGCTTGGGATGTTCGTACTGGTTTTTGTGGCACAGGAGGAGTGTTCTCGGCCGGCTGTAACAGATTACAGTTGGAGCCTATATCCTCCTCGCGCAAACACGTTTCTTCGGCGTTAATGGCTGAATGCCTCGCCATCCGTTCGGCAGTGATGTATACTGCCTCGTTGAATATTAAATCCCTGATGATCCGGTCTGATTCTCTCTCCTTGATCAAGCTATTGAAGAGTGGTGGATCGATACCAGCTTTGTTCGGCATTTTATTTGACATTTACCATTTCAGTTCTTTGTTTGATATTATCTCCTTTTCATATGTACCTCGGGTAGGTAATGGTGTCGCTGATTCTGTGGCTAAATCAGCTCTGTCATTGCTAACCTCCTCCGATAATGGAGTGTAAAACATCTTTAGTTATGAAATGATTATGTGTTTGCCCAAAAAAAAAAAAGAAATGAAAGTTGTTGACTTACTAATAGGCTTCGGAATTAATATTGATTGCTTGTGCTTCCTTTTCCAAAAGCAGAAAATGATTAAGCTTAGAAGAAGCAAAATGCTCACCCCAATACTGAAACCTATTATTATATTTCTGGTTTTGGTTCTCTTGTCCTCTGCAACAAACACGAGGCATTCTACGTAGATGTCAAAAAAAAAAAACGAAACAATTAAAGAAAACTTCAAAGAGAAGTTTGTTATTTAATACAACAAACAAAATACTGTTTTAGACTTTTCTATCAGGAACAATGGTAAACCTAAATAAAATACTTGTTATTTGATCTAACTTACACCATACTTATCGTAGTTTTTTATTTTTATTTTTTTTAACATCAAAATGCTATTCTATTACTCAAACTTGAGGTAGTCTGGAAATTCAGACCGGAATAGAACAACTAACAAAAGTCAACTGACGATAAAAGGTACGAGTATTCCTAGCTAAACCATTTGCAGTTCAGTTAAGCGTTCGTGATACATGTGAAATTGAAATCTGGAAGTGTTCTCTTCAATTCAGCAAACTCTCCTAGCTCTATGGAATAACTTGGCCAGTCCTTCGGGCTCCTTATCATTGCCAAAACATTCTTGCAGTCTGTCCCAAAATATTGGCAATTGGTGTTTTGTAGCATAATCTCCATGGCCCAGATCAACGCCTCAAATTCTGTATGCAAAGAAGACATACGATTTTCTTTGTTCCTTATTCCTAATAGCTGCTCATTTCCTAACCCATCCTTCCAAACCCATCTATATCCGATGTGGTCTGCTTCAGTAGTCCATGATCCGTCCACTAGACAAATATTTTGCAAGCTTATGGCTTGTGTATCCATATGTGTTGTCTGATCGACTTCGACAGTCTTTGCATTTGCTTCAAACCAATCATTGCATTCACTCTCTGCATGTCTAACTAGTTCAAGCGAATCTCTTGAGATGCCTCTGAACAGTTTATCATTCCGTGCTTTCCATAAAAACTATATAATCCATGGGTATGGATCTCTGTCCAGTTCAGGATCTTCAGTCTCATCCTTTCTCCAGAATAGATAATCCATGTTTGTGAATATGATTGTTGTCGGAAAGATTCCCGGGCATGAGGGTGTCGAGGCAAGGGCCCATGTTTGCAAAGCCGGTGGGAATTCAAAAATAGCATGATTAGCTGTCTCATCCGGCTCACCACATCTTAGACAATAATTGTCGCAACGCATATGACATCTAGTCAGGTTTCCGGTAACCGCTATATATCAAGACAGTAGCTGCCAATAAGGTAGCAGATCTTCTGTGGAGCCTGTATTTTCCAAGCATAGGCCTTTAATTTGCTTGTTATTGGTTCCATCACTGATTCTTCAATCTCATGATTCAAAATGTTTCTCGCGACCCAATAACCTGATTTCACCGTATACATCCCATGTTGAGTATAGCTCCATCTGTACTTATCTTCTCTATGGGATGGGCTTATGGCCAAGCTCCGGATCAGTGTAATGTCTTCTTGAACAATAATGGTCTCCAGCATATTCACATTCCACACCTTAGGGGAGCCATGAATCAGATCGCTAACTAACATCCGCGGATTTACCATCGGGTTGATCGCTCGGGTCGGTCTTGCCAGGACAGATGGTACCCACAGATCTTCCCAAACACGTATTTGATACCATGAGTGAACTTTCTGGTTGATTCCCAACATTAAAAGAGGTTTAGAATCCATCAAACTTGTCCACGCATAAGATGGGGAAGATGCCTCTACCACCCGTAACGACAAACTTTGTCGATAATACCTGCCCCGCAGGACTCTCGCAAGAAGAGAATCGGGGCATTGAATCAATCTCCAGAGCTGTTTCGCCAATAACGCCAATTTGAACTCATGTATTAATTTGAATCCTATTCCTCCTTCTTCCTTTGGAATGCAAAGTTTATTCCATGATGCCCAATGCATGCCTCTCTTAGGCGGATTCGAGCTCCGCCATAATTTAGCTATCGCACTTGCTAGTTTATCACATATCTCCCATGGGAGAAGAAAGCTAGAAATCACATATGTTGGAAGAGCTAATGCAATGGCCTTTATAGGGATTCCTTTTTCTCCACGCGAAAGCGATCGAGCTGACCATCCATTGATCCTATGATCCAGCCTATATCCTTGAGAAAAGCAAAGAGTTTACATTTTGATCCACTGATGTCCTCCAGGATCCCCAGATAAGTGCCCATTCCCCCCCTTCCGTATCAATGGATAAGGTATCCTTTATCTCCTGCTTAACATATATCGGCACCCTTTTCCCATAGAGAAGCGAGGACTTCTGGAAATTAATACACTGTCCTGACGCCTTTCCATACAACTTGAAAACTTTCATAACTTCATCACATTCACGGGGCTCCGCCTTACAAAAGAACATGCTATTATCAGCAAATAACATGTGGGATACCGAGGGGCTAGCACGTCAAACGCGCATTCCCGTTATCTTTCCCTATGTTTCTGCATGATTAGAAGGCTAACGAGCGCTTCCGTGTATAAGATAAATATGAAAGGAGACAATGGATCTCCTTGACGCAGACCCCTCTCTGGGACAATATTCCTCTAGGTTGACCATTTATAAGGACTTGGTAACTGATGTTACACATCGCATTATCCAACTTATCCAAATGGTACAGAAGCCTATTTTCTCTAATACCGTTTTGATTGCCATCCGCTTCTGGCGTCCTCCAGATTTTGTTCTCAATGCATGGAACATTTCTTGCGCGATCATTATATTATCAGTAATCTGTCTACCCGCGATGAAGGCCGATTGGGTCTCAAATATGCAATCTGGCAGTATCTTTTTCAGTCTTTGGCACAAGACCTTTGAGACTGTCTTATAACTCACATTACACAAGCTTATGGGTCGGAATTGGGCCATATCAGTTGGTTTATCTTTCTTTGGGATCAGATAAAATTGGTATCGTTCAGTCCTGGCGCAATAGTCCCATTAAATAGAAATTCATTGACCATACCGGTCAAGTCCTATTTAACAATATCGCAAAACTTCTGGTAGAATAAAGCACTCATACCATCAGGCTCCGGTGCCTTTTTTGGATGCATCGCAAAGAGCGCAAGTTTAATTTCTCACTCGGTGACTGGGGCCACCAGATCAGCATTCATTGCATCAATGATCGTTGCTGAGATGTTCCCCAGGGCTTCATCTAATTCTGAAGGCTTATATTTCGCAAATAGGAATCTAAAGTAACTAGTTGCAACAACAACCAATCCTTCCTCGTCCTCCACAAAATTCCCTTGCTCATCTTGCAGACATGTAATCTTATTCCTTGCTTTTCTTTGCTTCGTGAGGTTGTGAAAAAATTGAGAGTTCATGTCTCCTTATCTGAGCCAGAGAACTCTGCTATTTTGTTTCCAAAATATTTCCTTCACCTTAAGAGCGTCAGAAAGTTCTTTCTGTACCATAGTTAGTTCCTTTGTGGTCACATTTTCATCCAGATACATGGCCTCCACTTTTTCTTTAAGCTCTTCAATTTTTTTTTTCCGAATTTACGTCATTTTGTCTCCTCCATTGGCTAAGAGCTCTCCTATAGCATGCAATATGTGCCGAGATATTTGCATAAGATGGGAGATCAGGAATTCCAGCCATCTTGGATGACTTTCCTTATCTCCTCGCTGTCCAGCCATCTCTTATCAAATTTTAATTTCTTCCTTGCTCTAAATGGATTGACAAGAATATTCACACGGACTGGACGATGATCCAAGCCCCATAGCCAGAGATATTTAACAGAAGAATGTGAGAATTTCTCATGCCAATTCTCATTGCCTAAAGCACGGTCATGCCAATTCTCATTGCCTAAAGCATGGTCAAGTCGGCATCTAAGTGTAGTTCCATTTCTAGTCCTTCGTTTGCCTACCCATGACATCTGGTTACCAGTGCATGGAAACTCTAGCATCCCATAGTCACTTATCATCTGTTTGAATGGTAGAAAGGAACTATCAGCACGGGCTATTCCTCCTTCTTTTTCATCATGTCCGGTTATTTCATTAAAATCTCCAATCATGAACCAAGGTCCATCTTTTATTGTTGAGAATCGCGTAAGGCGTTCCCAGATTAGTTCTCTACGTTCAATGATAGGGTCACCATAACCAAATGTCATATAATTTTATTCCATCAATGGTTGCAGATACATCAATCATATGATTATTAGAAAATAAAATATCAACTTGCAAATAATCCATAAAAAACAAAGCTAAACCCCCTCTTTGGCCATGAGGCTCAACGGTAAACAACTTCTCAAATCCTAACTCAGCCTGTATGTTTTGCAACAGTAGCTTCCTATTCTTCGTCTCAAAAAGAAACAAGAGTCCTGGGCGATGCTTCTGACACATCTCCGTAAGGCGTCGAACTGTGAGGTCGTTCCCAATCCCTCGAGAGTTCCAGCTGATTGTCTTCATTGATGAAGGGTTGGCAGATCTTTGGCATCCGCCTTACCATTCTTTTGAGTAGTAGTCCCATTCCTCAGTTTCCTTGCAGCCGTCACCCTTACAGTTCCAACCCCGTGTCCAGATGTCGTTATAGAGCGAATCCTAGGAGAAGCACGTCTAACTTGTTCCCATTCTCCTTTTTATTTCCAATAAAAAGAGACCGAGCAACAGATTTAGGTGGATCTAAATCTTTCTCCCCAGACCCCATTGCTGGAGCAGCCTCAATCATAAGAATTGAGTCATTAGTCTCAGCCAAAGAATGCTCGGTATCATCCAGCATGGATCGATTATACTCCATTTCCGCGAGCTCCAAACCAAGGAGATCCTCAACATTTGACAAAGTGTTGTCTTCACCTTTACTTTCCTTATGCATCTCCTCGTCATCCATGTGTTCCTCTTCATTTAAATCACTAATCTTAAGGGCTCCATAAGGTGGAATTAAGTCCTCTTCTGATACCATGGACTGTTCATCATAATTGCCCTCTCTTCTCCTAAGTGGCGATCTGATAGTAACATTGCTATCCATCAAAAGAGGCAATTTTTCCTTTGGTGACATAGGGCCTCCTCCCTTAGTTTGAGTTGTAGACGACCGCATTGTGTTATCAGCCTTACGAGCTGAGGCCATAAATGATCCTGGTGCAGGGTATCGCCTTTCCTGTTGTTTATATCTATCAGATGTCTGCAGCTTATGATCATCGGCGTTGGAGTTCATAGAGTTTGTTTTAAGAAAAATATCACCAGAGGCTGACGCTACGTCCGCTACCTAAGCTTCTCCACTTGTCCTCGCTTGTCTTTGTTCCCAAACTCTTTCCTTACCGGTATCTTGATGCCCACTGGTTCTTCTTGTTGAAGCGCTCATCTTGTTGCCTTTCACGGGTTATACCATGGTTCCTTTGCATTATTCGCATTGTTCATGCGGTTTGTGTGTGAGGACCTTTGCACACGAGAATATGAGGCCCCGCCTTCTTTATACCCTCTAAAAGTTCCATCCTTTGAACGCACATTATCAGAGACAATCCTCGAGTCTGCATTTCGTTGTGTGTCCCCCAAGGTTTTGGATTTTACACAATCAAAAACTGTCTCACGATATATGTTCTGTTTTGCGTTTTTCACACAATCAGAGTACTCATGTGACATAAGACCACAAGTGGTACAGTGCTTAAACAGATTCTCATAGTGAAGTTTAATGGTAAAGTCTTCCTTACTTCGGGTTTGAAGTTTCCTAGAAAACTTCAGTGGCTTAGACGAGTTGATCAACCTTAATCTTTCCTTCTGTGGTATTAATCTTTTCCACTTTCCCAAGTCGATCTCCAATGGCTTCCAAGTTTTGATGAGTACAGAGGTGCAATGGGATTCCTTGGAGATGGATCCAAAACGGCACCATGGACTGGTATTCTTCGTCTATCACCAGCTCCCAACGAACCAACACAAACATACAGAGGTTGTGGTTTAAAGGGGCCTTGATTGAGAACATAGTTCAGATCATCTTAATTATCAAAGTTAAATAGGAACCTCCCATTACCCAGATCGCAAGCTGTGATCTTTTCAGTCATTCCCCATTGGTCCAGCATAGCCATGATGAGCCTTTCAACATTTTGTTTTTTGGGGTTTAAGATCTTGCCTATAAGAGACAAGCTATACTATCTAATGAGATGTTCATCAGGTTGATCGGGTAATTGAATCGGTTCGTCATCATCCTCCTTAAAGGGAATACCTTTTCCTTTGTCTTGAACCATTGTTTAGTGTTATACCATATGAAGATATGTTATATTGCACACTTCAAATCGAGGATCAGTTCAAAAACAAACGACAAGGGTCGATCTCAGAGTGTATCAATCAGATTGCAGGAGATAGTAGCAAAACAGAGTGTGTCGTGAAGCTTGGCATGAGGAGACTTGTGAGATACGGCAGCAAATCGAGGAGGTTGTACTGAGGATATCGGGCACAAGCAGACGACAAGGGTCGATCTGCTGTGAGAGGCTGTATGATCACCAAAGGATGAATAGAACAGGGGCAGGAGGCTTCGTCTTCTTTGATCTTCAAATCGCCATCTCTATCGCACCAGAGCGGCTAGGGTTTTCATGTTATTCAAACTTAACAAAACATGAGTACAAATAAAGAAGTTATATACTCTTCATACTACTTATCCTAGATTTTTTTTGTGTGAATAATATAGTAATCAAATGTTAAGCGCTTCAATCCATTCCCTATATATTAATCATGTAGCATTATAACATTTAAGTGTAGCCACGTGTCATAACTAGAATGATTTTTAGAATCTTTAAGAAAATAGGTTGGTCCATCAAAATATAAATGATATTTTCTATTAAATTAACTATTAGATTGATTAGTTATGCTTAAAGAGTATTCTTAATTATTTCCTTAAATAAAATCTACGAAATTACCTAATATGATTAACATATATATGATCATTAATGATTTTGAATAATAAATATTTGATAATAGTTTTTGTATTCTTCATCTTTTTTTTTAATTTATATTATTAAAAAATTAAACAATCACAATAACCATATAATATTTTTTTGTGAACAATGGTTTTACTTTTTTTTTGTTGTAGAAATCGAAATGATCATAAAATCATATGGGTATGAAGTATCATTTAATATATATATTCATAAAATATCCCTTCACTATTTATTTAGTGTTAAGTGTAAATTAGATAATAAATTTGCATTCATATAATTCTGGATTATTATATTATAAAGATTATGCAAATTTTATCTTATAATAAAAAAAATTTGAATTATTTATAAACATATAAACATTTATCAAGTATGAGACTGGTTGAATGATATGAGACATATTTACATAGTTTTAGCATTTCATTTTGCGCATAAAACATCATATAGATTTAGGTTAAGAAATCTTTAGGATACATATTGCATTCATATGTCTTATCAGGTGTTGCAGTGTCCTATGGTGTGATTCTATGGCTTGAGAAGTATTTTGGGTTGAAGAATGGAAGCTATTTGAGGTTTTGAAGAAGCTGGCACCAGTCTGGCCCGGGTTGTGTACCACGGAAGAGCATCACCCGCGCACACAAGTGGTCAAAGGCTGGCACGGGCTGGCCTGCTCAGGTAGCCTTACCCACTCGTCCGTGAAGAGCCAGCACAAACAAAGTAGCTGGGCAATGCCAGAGCGGGCTGGCCTGCGCGGTTGCTAGTACCCGCTCGTCCAAGGGGCAAACCCATCGACCATCTGGCGCGGGTAGGCTGCTCGGGTAGAATTCTCGACCATCACCCGGGCCGAGCCGGTTTGGACCAGAAATTTCTCATATTTTTATTTACCCTTTTGATCTTTTCACATTAAAAACCCTTGTGTCTCCTAGGGCATATAAATATTTTTGTAATCCTCTTTAGGAATCATATCTTCTTTTCTCTAAACAAAACACATTTGGGAAAGTTGCATCCTTGATTAATCTAAGCTTTTGTTCTTAATTAAATTAAATCTAACTTATCTTCTAATCATAATTAGTCTTCTATCCATCATAGGTTTAGGATTAAATATGAAGATTATTGAGTAAACTCTCTTTGAGCTTATGGGTTAATGTGATTAGGGTGATTAAATGATGATCTTTGGTGATTAGTGTTAGATCCTTCTTATTCTATGCTTAATACTTGATCCCAATGCTAGATTAGGAATATCCCTTCTACTCTAGATCATTAGACATTTTATGCTCACAAGGTGTTTGTAAAAATGTTTGAACTTAAGTATTAATGCTCTTTGCTTGCTTTTAGCCAAGGACACTTGATGCTAGGGATGCTTAGATGGTTATTAGATTTGTTCTCAATGTTTTCTTGATTAATTTAGACCAAGGACACTTGATGTTTAGAGACTGATATCAATGGAGCTTTTACCTTGACAAATGATTAGTGTAGGATTGTGCCTAGACCTATAGGATATGATTGATTGTTTGAACCCTCGCCTTAGAGAGTAGCTTAATCACCCAAAGTCAATACATTTACCCATAGGTTCTCTTATCTCATTGAAGCAAAGCTTAGTTATTCTTGTTTACATATTACTTGTTACTAGTTACTTATAAAACAAACCCCCTTTGATTGCATTTAGCTTAATACAATGACTTGTATTTTCTTTGTTCATCAGCACTCATGATTGGATTGACACTCTACATACCTTACTACATTGATTTGTTCTAAGACTTAAAAACTCTTATCATTGAACAACATAAAGTTACTTTATCTTATAATAAAAAATTTTGACGAATATAAATTTTCAAATAAAATTCATATTATAATTTAAAGCTTAGAAATAAACTATTATGAAATGAGTTATATACATTATTATCTTATTATAAGATAAAGTAAATATATCTATATAAATTTTATTATATATACTTTAGAAATAAATGTTTTAATACAAGTAAAATATAAAGATCTTCTTTAGTCAAAAATTTTTTTGAATAAAAATTAATTTTGCACTTTTGGATCAAAATCTAGTTGAAGGTTGAAACTATTAATATATCTATTGCTTTGTACTTTTTTATTAATATTAGTAAAATCTATATGCTATGTGTGCCTATCCAATTTGATGAGTTTTTAATGGACCATTCATTATAGCTTTAGTATCTTTTCGCTGCTAAGTATTTATGCTTATTCAAAACAACTCAAGTTTTAGAATCTTTTCAAAACAACTCAATTTTTAGTATTAGAAGCCGTTTGTTGTCCAGAAAAAAATATAAAATTTCTCTGGTTAAATAAAACTTAGGTATTAACTATAAATATAATATAATATTTCGCTTTAAATTTTTTAAAATATTTTTTAATAAATAACATGTTATAAAATAAATATAAAAATATTACTTTTGGTGAGGATAAATATATGTTAAATCATTTGAATATTAATATAATTGAAAAATAACATAACAAGTCAAAAACAATTTGATTTTAATAATTAAGAATAGTATTAATGAAAAATTATGATGGATCATATAAAACTAAATTCTGAAATTTGTAAAAAAAATTCCTTATAAACTTGAATATAACTATATGTAACTCTTTAGTTTTATTTTATATTTAAGTGTTCTGAATGTTTGACATTTATTTGGATAAAACAAATCGGTTCATATAAATTTGAAACATATAACATTTTATTTGGCTATCAAATTAATTCTTAGATAAATATACGTATTATTATACACAAACATACAAAATAATTAGATTTATAAATAAATAAAACAGAAAAATATTCATGTAGTTAAACATGATCAAATGACAAATAACTTATGTTACATATGAATTGAATATTGAGATTATACATTATGTTTAGTATATGTATAGTTGAATCATTCATCTGTTTTTATGAGAAAATCTAAAATATTTATTATAATGCATTATAAAAATACTACGTACTAACCAGCTATTATAAGTGACTAGATATGGGTCCGTGCGTTGCACGGATTGTATTTGATGCTTTTAATATCTATAAAATATAAAAATAATAATTTATTTTATAGTTTTATGATTTTTTGCATATGTTGTGTGAGATTTATTTAGAAATAAAGAATTTGTTTTCCACAAAAGTTTGGATTACTATTTATATTTTAATAAGCATATATTTTATTTGATGCTTTAATTTTACAATGGACAGAAAATAATAAATTATTTAATCTTTTAGGATTATTTTTGTATATGTGTGAGAATTATTTCAGAATTTAGAATTTTTTAACCCACATAAATATTGATAAATATTTGTATTTTAATAATCATGGCACATAGGTGAATTTTTTTAACTTTGTACCTAAGGCGAGACAAAATACTCATACCTAAAAATTTAAACCAAATCCTGTTTGAATTAAGAATTAGAGTGAAAAAAAAAGTCAATGAAGTAAATGACAATATCATACAATTCTCACTTTTTAATTTGTGATGATAAATCTAAAAATTTTTTTTTATTTTATTACATATTGTAATAAGGTTGAAGAAGACGATCTTAGAGGTAATTAAGAAATTCTTCTAATTTCATTTTAAGTATACGATATTTAATATCATATATATCATTTGGAATTTTTATATAACTTTATAAACTTAGTTTCATCCCTTAAATATGAAACTCTACACACTAAATCCTAAACTCAGATATTATGGGAGGTTTTTATGTAGTATAAAAAATGGTATTCAAATTATAGTATTTCAAAAAATTTCTTTAGTTTTTTTTCAGTTTTGAATTTTTAATTTTTCCTATGTGTAATAAATTTATAATTATTTTCAAATTACTTGTTTCTCATTTTCTACTAACAATTTGGCAATTTTATTAATTTTCTGTTATTGATTAATTTTTGAAATTCATTATGATGATATATTTTCATAAAAACAGTTTAATAAAATAGATTAGAAATGCTATATATTAAATATAAAAATTAATATTTTTAAAATTCACTTTTTATTATTTTAAATATTTTTTAGGATTTTTAAGAATAAAAATTACAATTCAAAACTTATACGTTCTGTTTTATTTACTTTATTTTTTTTTAAAAATCAATATCTTCAAACTTCATCTATTATCTTAAGATATATATTAAAAATCATCATCAGTTTAAGAAAAAAAGAACATTAAAATATTTAAAATAATTACTCTACAAATACTTTTTGTATAGGATTTGAAAAAAAGTTATTAAGTATTCTTTAATAATTCTCTTGTATTCAAGATTTTAGAAACAGACTATTACTACAAAATAGGTGTCAAATATCTTTTTTTCGGAATTTGGAAAAGGAGTATCAAATAATCTTTTAAAATTTTTTTTTTTTTTAGGATTTCAAAAACGGAAAATTACTATTAATAAGAATTATAATTAATAAATATATAACTGCCATATGTTACTCTCATGTTAATTAGTAATTTTGAAGAATCAAGCTCAATACAATTTTTTCACCATATTTTTTCACAAATTTTCAAAACTTTTTTTCAGATTTTTTTTTGTTTAGGATTTTTAAAAAGTAAAATTTTTAAAAAAAATATTAAATAATTTTTAAAGTTACCTTTTACTAAAGAATAAATTTTAAATTTACTTTTTCAAAATTCATTTTTATTATCTTATTTTTTATATATATATATATATATATATATATATTAAATCATTAAATCATTATATATTTTAACACATGTCACAATATTAAAAAGAAAAATTACTATCAAATAATCTTTTACAATAATCTTTTGTTTAGGATTTTAAAAATGGAAAATTACTATTAGATAATATATACATATTTCATCATTATATATTTTAACACATGTCAGAAAATTAAAAAGAAAATTACTATTAAATAAACTTTTACAATTATCTTTGTTTTGGATTTTAAAAATGGAAAATTACTATTAGATAATAATTATAATTACTTTTTAAACAAAATTTATTTTTGTTAATATCTTAGTATATATATTTTTAATTCTGATATAGATTCACACATGTCACAATCTTAAACGTATAATTGTCATGTGTTGCGATCATGTTAGTTAGTAACTTTTGAAAAACCAAATTTTATATAATAAGATATTTTGTCTTGGTTATGGTTTTATGGTTAACAAAAGGATTAAACCAAAGCAGAAGAATGATGTTATTAGTAATGTGATATATATTTAATTTAGTTTAATTGATATTCACATGTTATTAATAATGAAAATATATGTTTAATTTAATTGTAATGTTTTAATGAAATAGGATTACTCTATTTCAGTTGAGTAGATTACTGGTAAGTATAATTATTAATATGGGTGGGCAAAAAAATCAAACCAAACCAAACCAAATGGACCCAACTGAACCTAAACTGATCCAAATCGAACCAAAGTATATGTCTAAACCATATGGTCCAAGATTTTATCAACCCGAATGATTTGGTTTAAAACCAAACTAAAAAAAACAAAGCATTTTTTAAATAGATTAATTAAATATAGTAATAATATTATATTTAATATATTTAACCATTTAACCTAAATAAATAATAATTTTATATATTTTACTTCTCAACAAATATAATAAAAAAAACTAAAAAAATATGAATCTATACATTAACATCAAAAAAAATTGAATACATTTATGATTTTATATTAAATTTGAAGATAATAATATAAAATTATCAGATTACATCTTCTAAATATTTATTGTGATGTTTGATTTTATGTTTAATTATGGAGAAAACAATGATTTAGTGTCAAATGATGATTTGTTAATGTTTTCATAAATTATATTTTTTGTAAATAAATCAACTCGATTGAATTGAAAAATACAACAAAACCATATTAAATCGAATCAAACACAAACCAAACTAAAACCGAACGGAACACAAACCAAACCAAATTAAAACCTAACCAAAGTAAACATAAACCAAACCAAACTAATATAGATTGACTTTGGAAAAAGTTTTTTTAGACCCAAATAACCCAAACTAACCGAAATGCACCCCTAACTATTAGCGGTAGGTTTTACATTTATCGACTTGTTTGTCGGTTTTTATTTTTTCATTTTTTGCCACACCTCGTACTATGGCGTCGAGGAAAAAAAAGGCTTGATTTCAATTTTTTTTTTTGGTCAACTTTGATTTCAAATATTTAAATGACCTAACTTTATCTTAAATACTTTTTATATTTTTATTTTCACATTTATAGATCCAAATAATCGTTTCCTTGAAGTTTCAAGAAACTAACCGACTCCGTGATCCGTAGGAGCAATTCTAATTACATGCAGGTCGTGACCGCCCAAGGTATAGTTTCGCATATCTTCGAGCTCTCCATACCATATCACACAGTTTCGCTGGCCTTTTCGGCTTTCCACAAACGCATATGCGGTGCAATGGCAATCTGCAAGGCATTTCTCCTCACAGTCTTGCTGCTCTTGTAGATCACTAGTCCAACTCTGAATATTATTTCTTCCATTCGGCAATCTTATGTTATGTAGTTTAGTAAACCGATCTCGACTGCAACTCATATTAGTCACTCTCGTACATCCGGTCCACGTAGTCTCCAACTTCCGACTAAATCCTTCGATACAGTTACATCGGGGCGTTGTGTTTTTGGAGCAGAAGCTGTACGATCCACATGGGCTAGTTAAGAAACATGAATCATTAACTGACCATAATAACTTCCATTCTCGATGTTTAGAGGACCACGTGTATACTTCATAGATTCCTTCTACCCCTAACCTAAACCTCGAGAAGTTCCCATGGTTGTTTGTCATTACTAGTGATTGCTGTTGCGAACTCGGTTCACCTTCTACTTGAAAAATCGGAGGCATATCTCCGAACGCGTATCCATTCCATAAATCAACAAGGTACTTCTCGCTCGAATGTCTTCCCTGTAGATAAATCCAAAAGCCGTGTATTTTATTTGTAACTCCCAAAACAATTTTTCCGGCCAACGGATCATTAGGATTAATCCAGGGTTGAAGTATATTGCCGGTTCCAGTGCGCAGCTTCATTTGGGGGAGTAAACAATCACATGGAAAATCGAAACTCTGCCATAAGAATTGATTCGTGTCGGTTGTGTCCTCCTTCACCACCAAGTTACCGTTGTCGAGAAACTTTACCACAACCTGAGCCCTCACAGTCCCGTTTATATTGGTTGACCAGACATGATTGTTATCTCGATCGAAGAGTATGAGGTTTTTTTTGGAGGGTTCCTTGGGATCCGATAAGAGGACGATTTCTGTTGGCGACCCATAAAGCGGTTCTGTCGGGGTCTTGCTTTAGCCAGATACCGAGATACCAGTTGGAAATTGTACCAGGTTTGAAGAAACCGAGCTCGAAGACATTTCCAGGAGATGCAAGGGTCTCATTTTTCGAGAGTGACAGAACATCGTAAGACAACGAAGTAGAAGACAGATGATGAAAAAGTAAAAGGAAGCAGATTGTAACTTTGCCACTCATTTTCACTTGAGTTTTCTTTCTTGTTTTCGACTTCTCTAGCTCATGTTCATCGTCATCTTTGTACAAAAACAAAAAACAAGAAACCCATACCTCTTAAATACGAAGCCACGACTACACAACAAAAAAAGTCTAAACCTATCTACCGCTATGTAAAGGGACTCATCCCGTTTTCTTTGTCGCATCTAAGACTGCATATACATGTGTTGTCTTTTTCTACCTAAACGAGGCTTTTTCAGAATTTTCCCCTAACTTATAATTTCTACGATTAATTATTCAACAAGGTTAGGTTCAGTTTCCATTGTTCTCTTAGACTAATTCAACAATCTATCGGATTACTATGCTACTACGACTATTTTAACATATGCACCTTAATCATTACGAGAGCAAGTCCTAAAATTTTGGAGGCTCTGTTAAAAAAAAGGGTATATATATATATATATATATTAATGTATATTTTTTTTACAGATTTGATAAAATCTCTTATTTAAAAAATCCTAGTTTTATGAGAAAATGCTATCCAAATTTCTTACAGAATATAAAATATGACCTAAAGTAATTGTAAATTAAATTATTAAACTAAACAATATATTTTATGTCTTTGAAAGATATAGTCACTATTTTAAAACTAAAATAACAGACAAAACTAAGGGGTCTGTTATTGGTTTGTGATTTGAAAATAGTTTTGATGAATTTTATAATTAAACAGTTTGTTGAATATAAAACAACGCTGATAATTTTTAGATTTTTTCAAAATTTATTAAAGAGTTTTAGTACACTATTGGACATTTTAACTGAAGATAATCATAAACTTTTGCAGATATTGTACAATATTGTGTTTTGCATCGGTTGTTATCCTCTCCACTTTTTTAGTTTGTATTTTGTTTTTCAAATTTTCGGTTACTTTTCTCGTCTGCAATAGTTCATCTTTTACTTGGCTTTTGCAGGATCTTTATTCATTTTCCTTATATCTCTATAATATCACTCAAATTATCCTAAGAAGTGAATTACGTTCTTAAATAAGAGGTTCAATTGTATTACTTAAGGATCGAATCCACAAGAAACTAGGGTACACAATAGATCTAATCAGGATGATTAAGCTGGGTCGAAAGTGTTTAAATTAGAAAAAAAAATTTGAACAAGGAAGTTGTTCGATTGGTTTGAAGTGGGTTTGTAACGATATTAGAAAGTAGGTAGACTTAGGATTTCTATTCATGTAGTCAGGATTATAGAGATATAGGTGCTAAGTTGGAGGATCTATTAGAGCTCAACTAGAGTACAGTCCATCAGCATATCACGTTTAAGACTCTCTGTTGACTAGATCTATTGTCTCAGTTGTTGCATGTTGTCCAATAGAAAGTGTCGATGAATGACTCTATAGGAGTATCGATCGATACACCTTTCGCAAGCGTCGATCAATTATTCAATATAAATATCGATCGATCGGCTTCTAGCCAAGCTTTATGTTCGGGTTGATTAACTACTCACTAGGTTCCTAGATCATCTGTCGCCTTTTTCTAGAAATTCTAGTTCAATTAGGACTAGTTCAGATAATAGATCAATCGGTTGCACGTAATGAGACTTGTCCAACTCAGAGATAAGAGAAAACATTACGGGGGTTTGATAGATTTTATCATTGCCCTTAGTGATCAGAGAGATAAATTACAAGCTTGTTTTGTTGCTCTTTCCGTGGCGAAAAGTCACGATTAGTTTTTGATTTTTCTAAGTACTACAGCGTTTGCGTGAGCGTTGGCTATAGGAGTAGTCGCTGCTGGAGTTGTTTTACCAGCGTTTTTGCGAGCTGCGAATTTTTATTTCATATATCCAGACATTGTTTTGATCAAGCGTTTTGCAGCTATGAGTTAGAGTATTCCGACCCCCCCTCCTTCTAGCGCCAAACTGTGGGAACCGAAATTCGCACTGTCGATTTTTGTAAAATAAGGAAACTTAGGAAAACCCTAATTTCCAGAGGACCCAGATCTCTGCGAGAGCCAACGACAAGTAACCAAATAAATGCAGAAAAATATGAAAAACATGATAAAACGAATTTATAAAGATAGTTGATCTTATTTCGAATTCGCATAAGAGCGCTGCGATCTTTAGAAGAGATTACAAAGGCTTTGGCCGCAAGGGGCCATCAGCGAGTTTCCTAGTTCTAGCAACATAACACCCTAAACCTAGTTGAGTCGCATCTCGGTAACAAAAGACAAAAAAGATAAGAAAAAAGGGTTTTGATTGATTTCGGACTGAATCTTATGAAAGGCTGCCTACGTACCCCTTTCGAGGATCAAGTCGAACGTAGTTCAATTGATAGAGCTGGAAAAGAGATCGAACTGCCTGGGCGAGTTCGTTTAGTAATTGAGCACCAGTCATAGACACCGAACTTGTCGAGAATAAAGCTTAAGTTTCTAAGTGCTAAGTTTTTCTGTGTGATGAGAGCTCTGAAAATCGTCCTCTGCTTCTATCCTCGACCTTCTGCTTATATACTCCTTCTCTAGGCGGTTTGGTCTTTCCTTTTCCGCATTGATTCGTGCTTATCAAAAATCTTCCATTTATCTCGATCTTTCCATTTTTCTTCGGAAAACAACTATTTATCTTCAATCTTGACATTTATCTACTCCTGTGGATAATAGGTAAATCGTCACTGTATCTTTGGGCTGGATCTTGTCTGAAATCATGAATGGGCTTTTATCACGTTTTAGGACCTTTCGGGCTGTTTTACGATTCAGCCGTTTTACGACTTTAGATGAGATCGTTTCCTGATACAATGCCGTTTTTAAATAAACATCTCGAATTAATCGTATAGTTTGGCGATATTCGGTGTTTCGTTTAACCATTGCTGTTTTATATGATTTACTCGAGATTTTACGAGAAAATGCAACTTTTATGGTTTTTATAAAAAATCTTTAGTTAATCGTATAGTTTGGCAATGTTCGGTGTTTGGTTTAACTGTTGCCGTTTTATACGATTTACTCGAGGTTTTACTAAAAAATACGTCTTTTACGCTTTTTATAGTAAAACTCAAACGACAAGGCAGATTGAGACGAAACGAAAGACGTTCCAATCAAGATTCAGAGCAAGATCAAGTCGAGGGGCACAAAGGGTCAAGGTCAGCTCCCCCTTTGGCGAGCTTGACAGATGTGTTCAGCTCAACGGGCGAGCTGGACACATGTGTGGTCAGCCCGCCAATGAGCAAGCTGGTCACATGTCTGGTCAGCTCGCCCGTTCGCGAGCTGGACAGATGCCTTAAGCTTTCCAACGGGAAAGCTGGTCACATGTGTGGTCAGCTCGCCTGTTGGCGGGCTGAACGGTTGCTTGGTTTCGATCCTTTCTTATTTTCTTGGCCCGAGATTCTTTTGGAGAATGTAAGGAGAATTAATCGTAGACTTTGATTCCGTTCAATAGTTTTGATATCTCGGGGAGTTTGGACGTCACGGCTATTTTTTGGTTAATTTGGCCAATAAAACTGTTGGGGTCAAAATCGGTACGACGAAATCAATGACAAAAATTTTCCGAAAAAATAAAAGTACGTTTTATAAAATACTAGAAGTTGTTTTATAAAATTCTAAGGACTTTCCGAACAAATGAAATCCACGGAAAACTTGGAGATTGTCATCTCAGAAGAACGAACGAAACAATTGCCGATTACACGATTGCCCAAGTTAAACAAAAAACCGCAAAAACCACATCCGCCATAAATCGCGAGCAGGTTCGACCGAACCAGTTCAACGTACGACGAACCGAACCAGCCGGTTCAGCTTGCCGTACGACGAATTGGCTCGTCCTGGACCAGCTGGCCGTACGGCGAGCTGAACCAACCCGGTTCGACTTACCGTACGTCGAGCTGACCGTCCTGAGCCTTGATCTCCGGCATCCTTGACGTAAGGCATACGTCCTTCGATTCGATCATGCTCTGAACCATGGTCGAAACATCTCTCATTTCGTCTCGATCCGTCTCACCGTTCAAGTTTTACGAAAAAAAATCGTAAAAGTCTTCTTTTCTCGGAAAATTTGGGAAGATCGTATAAAACGACATCGATTAGACGAAACATTGTATATTTTCTAACTATATGATTAACTCGAGAATTCTTATAGAAAAGGCATTGTATCAGGAAATGATCTCATCTAAAATCGTAAAACGGTTATTATCGCAAAACGGCTCGGACATCCCTAAAGCGCGATAAAATCCCACTCGCGACTTTAAACGAAATCCAGCCCAAAGATACAATGACGGTTTGACGATTTACTCGCATAAAGAAGATAAATGTCAAGTTTAAAAATATATATCAAGTTTGAAGATAAATAGAAGATTTCCGCAAGGAAAATGAACAGATTGAAATAAATGGAAGATTCCCGATAAACTCGAATCTGGGTGAAAGGAAAGGACAAAACCGCCTAAGGAGGGAGTATATAAGCAGAAGGTGAAGGACAGAGCACAAGGACGATTTTCAGAGCTCTCACCACCAAAACTTAATATTTAGGCAACTTTCCATTTTTGTTATCGAGCTGCGTCTTAACTAGGGTTTTAGTCTTAGATTGCTAGAACTAGGAACTTTTCCAGCGGTGCTAAGGCTTACTCTTGTTGTACCGTTCTTACGCGAATTCGGAATAAGACTCCTTGCTGTCATTATCGTTTTTATTATCTTTTATCTATTCTCGTCGTTTACTTGATTGCTTGTGTACGGTTCCGCAGATACCATGGTCCTCTGGGAAATTAGGGTTTTCCCTAAGTTCCTAAATTTACGTAAAATCAACGGGGGTGAATTTTGGTTCCGACAGTCTGGCGCTAGAAGGAGAGGGGGGTCTGATTTATCTTACACTCACAGACAGGAGACCGAAGAAGACGGCGACGAAAGGGTTAACCTGGAAACAAGCGACCAATCTGATCCATCGGATGAAGATGTAGACATCCATCCAAGGAGAAGGAAATATCGTAGCCCTCAGCCGGAATCCTCTCCTGAGCGTTCTCTTACTGAGGACGAGGAGGAACTCTACTGTGTGCA